CATAGTTTGTTTGGCCGTCAAAACCACTGCCAGTGAATTGAGACGAAAACACTACAAAATAGTCTAATTTATAGTCCAATTGTCGCGTCAGTTGATCCAGATTTGCAAACACCCGGTGTTTAGTGTCCACCGTTTCCTCAAACTTTTCAATTGTCATGTTTTCAAATAAACAATCGTTCAAAACGAGTGCCAAATGAAAGACTCCTCCAATGAATCTCAACTGTTTGGCCTCCGATAGCAGTTGTTTTGAACCTTCAATAGTGAATCCATTGGCCGTCGATATTATGATTTGGGACTCAAAATATTGATTTGTTTTGCAATAAGATTTTATACGATTGATGAAAAACTTTTGACAATTAGTTTTAATACCAGAACGAGAAGTGAGTACAAACTTTCGGGCGCCTCTCATATGCATCCATGACATCAACTCCAATCCCATTCCTCCCAAACCACCCGTTATTATAAATACTTTTTTACTATCCCTTAAGTCGCCAGAGATTTTATGAGGAGTGTTTAATAAAAGTTTCAATTCAAGGTTAATACAGTATGACTCGAATATAACGCACTTCAAAATGTTAACTTTATATTAAATATTATAAAGAAAATTTTTTATTATAAACAAACAACATTTGTAAGGCAATGCTGCGCTTTAACCACAAAACGGATAATGCCTTAAAACTAAAATCTGTTCACAAATACCTGTTTAAAAAATGCAATTACAAAATTTATATAATTTGCTTTATCCATAGGATTAGACATTGCATTAACTATGTCTTTAACATTATTAATGTTAATCTATGGGAAGAGCCCAATGGTAAAATATAGCTATAAGATTAAGCTGTCAACTTATCTAAATTTGTCGTAAGGTCGGGGAGGTCACATAACGCTCATATAAATCATATTTTTCATAAATGAATTGTGGTCAAAATTACAAACTGACACAATTTAGATATTCGACTATATTCAGTTATATTTATATATTTTGCGTAATATTGATTTTTTGTGATTTCATGTGACGTCACATGACGTAATGTAAATATAACATAGAATTAAATGGAATTTTCAATGTTCTATTAGTGGGGAAATAACGCTGTAACTTCTAATAATTCTAATAAAATTTCTATGTAACACTTTACCTGTCATGCGATTTACCACGTAACGTAAAGTATCATAATATTACAGTAAAATATGAACTGGGTGAACTTGGTAAATTTGGCCATTTAATTCATACAAATGCTTAGTTCACACAACTCATGTTTCACTGTATATGACATTAACAGCCTTAGATTTAGATGAGTTTTAAATGTTTAGTAAAAAATATTATTGTTTGTATAGACAACAAACAATAATGTATAATGACAATCCCTTATATGCAGGAAAACTGTCCGGTTTTGTTAATGAGAAGGTCATCAAATGAGCTGGCTTAATTTTTCAAATTTGCCAATCATATTTGAATCATAGTGGATTTTGATCTCTATTGGCTTGTGTCTCAGACACTTAAAAATTTATTATGAGCTATTGAAATAAGTTTTTAAAATTTAAATCAACCTTCAGATCATAAGCTGGAGTAATGGCATTCAATGGCAACACATCTGACGACTCGTCTCTATATTTAATGATTACTTTCTCGATGTGTCGACCGGTAGTCATATAACGAAACGCATTGACAACTCTTTTGGCCCCAAATACTGTATAACTCAATGGCCGGACAAAACCATTCAAACACGAGTTCTGTTGAATCCATTCATAAAACTCTGGCAAAAACCCGATGTCTGTAATCAAAAGATTGGCTGAAACTCCGATGTATTGAAAATCGCCGTCAAAATCGTATGGATTGCGTTTACGATTGTGACCATTTTGCCCATGGTCCAATTTTTTCAACTCGATAAAACGTCCGCTTTTTGCCAAACATTCAAAACTCAAGTCCGACTTTTTGCCGGTCAATGAGTTGAGCACAACATTTATTCCCCGAACGTTTGTCGCCTCAATTATCTCACTCTTAAATTGCATATCTCTTGAGCAAAAGATCCGATTCTCTGGAATATTATACTCTTTGATGAGAAACTGTTTCTCCTCTTCCGTCTCAACCGTCACATAGATATCGCATCCGTAGTGTTGGCACACATTAATGGCCGCCTGACCCACACTTCCCGCTCCGGAGTGTATTAATACACTTTCGCCTATTGAATACATAATACAATTCTATTTTATCTACAAAATAGTTAACTCAAAGCAAACCTTTTTTAATAATATTATTAGCCTTTTTAATGAGTGCATAATATACTGTCGAATAGCTGTTGAGTACAGTCACCGCCTCAGCCATTGACCAGTGATCGGGTATCGGAGCCATATTAAGGACACAGGCGTTAATTTGAGTGGCAATACAGCGGCCGAACTCAATACCCATAACCCGTTGCCCGGTATCCGCCCGACGCCCGGCGTATTCCCCGCCCAACAGACAGTCGGTGAACATTAAGTCAAAACCATTCCTCATTAGCTCATTGCTTGTATTAAAGGCGATTTTTGTATATGGTACTTTTATTGTTTGGTTAAAATTTAATAAATACTTTATATTTATTATCTTGTGTTCTAATAATTAATATCGTGATCCGGCAGTTCCGACAGAAGTGAGTACTCCCTGTGAACTTGTTGTGTTAAACTTTAGCGACTTGTCCTCTAGCGTGTTGATAATGTTATGATTTAAATTAATCATGGCCAGCGTTTTGATCCCGCTAAATTTAACATAAATAGCATTGAATTAAATGGAATCAAAAAGCAAGAATCAAGCATATGTATTAATGATCGCGACAGATTTCACTATGCCAGGATTGAACCAAACACTTAGGTCAATTGTAGCATCATTATTTTTATAAACATTTTCCAGATAAATACTAGTTAATAGGTGGTGAAATGTTTAATAATGTCGAAAATGTCCATGACACAATTGGTGATTTTTGCAAACTTGGTCATAGTTGTGTCGGTAAAGATCGCATGCTCATATCAATAATCTTAATTAAGTCAAATGTACATGTAATTACATTGCTCGATTAAATTTAATATTTAGATATTATTAAATAACATGTTAGAAACTTAATTAACAATGAATTCTTTATTCAGCTTTCAATTTAAAGACATTCGTTGAAAAGTCATTTTGATTTAAATTCTTTCATACTTTTTAGAAAACGACCGAACGTTTTGTACACAACTGTCAAAAACGACATATACTTTGAATTGTCTGCGGGGGCGGCAATAAATTGGCACTTTTCACTGGCTTTCATGTTGGTCATAGTTTCGGCACTTGTGATTGCATCCCGGTATAATCCAACAGCTAGTCCGACACTATCGCGCGCAACAGTTCCGTCATATAAAGCCTCAGTTTTAGTCGCATATAACTTGACAATACTGTGTAAATAAATAATATGTAAATAATTTATCAATGTTAATCTAACCTTTCACCTAGTACCCGGGAGTTATCCAATATAATTATTATTTTTGGTATATTATTAAATACAAATAATTTGAGGGTATGGGTTAAGTGATGTCATAAAATCAATTAGAATTTATTATATTTTTATTGAAATATATTTTTTCCATAATCAAAATCGCTTTAAGTAAGAATTATAATATAGGATTAGTCATATTTGTACAATATCAGGGACCTACATTCCTTGACAAGCCAGGTCATTCCTGGACATCTGGTGAGTATAATTCCAATATAGATTGATTTGATTAATACATTGTATTTCTAAACCATTGGTTTTGAAAATACAAAGTGTAAAGTATTAAATATACAGATCACAAGAGGGCTATAAACGGGACGCTTAAGGTGTGGTATTATAGTCTAGTTCATTCTTAATATTAATACAGGTAAAAAAGAAATTTAATATCAATGAAACGAGTCATACCAGAAAGCGTCCGCAATAGTTGACCGGTTTGTGTTCAAACTTTCTAAAGTCGCGATAGCGGTGTCCCTCAACTTTTTGGTCTCGCTTGATTTAAGGTTTAATACCTGACCCAGTTTACCCTGGTCTTTTGCGTTGCAAAACCATCTCATTTTAATGTAGGTATTGTTTGTATTTAATTTATTAAACATTGGCTGAGCCTTAGAGCCAAAACTGGCGTAATATTTGGAGTAAATATCAATATCTTCCGATCTTCGGTCGTTTTGTTGTTGCATTTATTTAGAGTGAATTAAATAATATAATATTAATATTCATATAAAGATATTAATGTAATATGGTAAATTAATATATGACATCAAAAAATGATGCCAGGGTTTATTATATGGCTCAAGTAATAAGGCGGTCAGTTTATTCTATCGCTCGAAGAATCGTTATAACTTTGAAACTATAAGAGATAATGCAATTGTCTACTATTCATACCAACACATGACATGCATATTACGTGTACAGCGAATACTAGAACCATATAAAACCCGTCACATAATTGTCTCCAATGCTAATACAATAATTAAAAATTTATACAATACTGTCATTATTTGCATGTATTGTTTACTTACGATTTGGCCGAACTATTACATAGTTGTTGGACTAACACAGCGGTTGTCGGGTATGGCTTACCATTTCCTAAGCCAAAAAACTTACTAGTCACTTTGTCGTATTTTTCTTCATCATTCTCCGAATCTTATAAATTGATATTCAATTTTAAAATAATTAATTCTAATTTAGACATTATGTAAGTTTTATGAATTGGTTTGCATTCTAATATTACATGGAGTTTTTGTTACATAAGCAATGAGTAAATGTGTATAATTATTATAAATAAATAATATTATATTTTAATTAATTATGTTTATAACCTAGACAACTAAGGTAGAGAGAGAGAGAGAGAGAGAGAGAGAGAGAAATATAATTAATCACAAATTATAAGACAATTTACTTGCGATGTGACGATCGGGTATTGAATGGCCAACAGTTTGTCCAATACATCGATAGCCGAGAGCACTTGAAAATAACAAAAATACAAACTAAAATGTTTTGGTCAAATGATTTCGTAGTCGCTGATTGAGAGAGAGAGAGAGAGAGAGAGAGAGAGAGAATTATGATATGACATGATTATTGAATCACCAAATCAAGTTATATTTTTATCTATTATTTAAAATAATCTCAAGGAATTATTCGGATAAGTTTACTAAAATGAGTTAATCAAGAAATTGAGAAAAATGATCTGGTAACACTACTTACGACAGACCACTATTAAGGCCGCGACGAAAAACCATTTATAAGAGTTGGCCATTATTTGCAGTGAACACCACTTATGGCAATAATTTTACTACAAATATGTTTTTAATATAATTATTCACTTCAATGGAGAGCCGATTCCTATGTCTAATATGTAATCAATGACGTAAACCTTAACATTAGTGCATGCATACGGTTAAGGGCAATATGATATTCTGTGAATAATGTTTATTTATTCATAACTTAAACTAGAAGAGATATTTTTATTCTGTAAAATGCATTCAATAGCCCCGTATACGCGTGACCTGTTGCATAGGCGGTCAATATATTTTGGTCACGTGATATACAAAATATGGGACAATTCTGAATCATCATGTTATAGGTCTAACGGTCAGAAATATAAAGATGGTCCCAATGTATAATTTGTAAAGGGATAAATTCTGCACAACATAAAATAGAATTTATGAAATCTGATAAGTAGTTCAGCTTTTATGACTTAAGAAATTTAAGTATATTGTAATGTTAATCTTATGGGCTAATGTTAAATCTATGGCCAGACAAATACTAATTAAATTTTTAAAGGTGTTATGCGGTATATTGTATAAAGCAATTTAGATTCCTTGTTAAAAATTTCGCGACGAAATAAACATGGTCAATAATAAGTATCATATAAGTAACTAACAATGGATTGGCCACTTGTGCCAATCTCCTTTTTTAATGAAATGTATGTTTTCCGATAGTATTTGGCATAAGAAATCATGTTATGTATATTGTTTAGGTATATAACCCCTCTGAGAGGCGTGAAAGGGGGTTCAGCAATGTATACACGCGTAGCGTTTAAAGGAACCATTAATTGCTATCAATCAACGGCTATTGAGAATTCTTATATGAAAATGTGTTTTTGACCATTTAATTCAATATCATTAAAACCATAGAATAAAAACAAAGTACAATGTCTACCCCTAATACTAACGCTTGCCCCATTGACCAGGACATGTTTTGGTCACGTGATTTCAAAAAATTTTTGATTCAAGGCACTAGACATGTGGACCTTCATTTTACTTTTTACAGATTCAATCTAGGTCTTCTAGTTTAGTGTAAGGGTTCGCCCCCGGAGGGGTCTCTACGGGAATAGAAAAACATAATTTTATTTAAAAATTTGACTTTTATTGAACACTTTGAGACCAGAACACAGAATGAACAAAGTCACATATGTTAGGCATAAAATCTAACATCAAATTAATTAAAAATAAAAAGTTTTAAATTAATTAATAAAAATTTTCTTTAAAAACATTTAAAGGAAATATAATATTTCAAAAAAACTTTAAAACAAAAATTTAGTTATTGTGGAAACTATGAGTGTTCCCGGTAGCGTTTTCTATGTTAGACCCAGTTGTTTGTCATTTAGATGTCTATGTCTATTAACGGGTCTACCCATAGAGTACAGTGCGTTTCGCCCCCAAAAACTAAGCAGCTCTCATAGTTTCGACAATATATGAAAGTACATTATAAATATTGAATCAAACAGGATATTACAAAAACAACATTTTTAAAATATTATATTAACATTGAAACACTAATTATAATACATTTCATATTATGGTTATAATTAGTTAAAAAATTAATCTTTAAACAATGTGAAACCCTTTCATTAGGTGTAATCACAAAAACCATGCGAACAGATTTATTTGACTGATTTAATAACATTTATTTTTAGTCATCATTTAATAAAACATCAGGTATCAATTTAAAAAAATACAAAACATTGAAATCAATACTGAACAAGGTTGGTTATTTTAATTTAGACTCTTTCGTCATGGACAATTCGGAATCGAATAGATATTTCGATACAATTTGTTTTAATTTATCGGACGGTAAATCAAACACCAAGGCCAACAAAATTGCCACAATATAATTTGCAATAAATATGAGCGCTATCATACTCATAGTTATAGTGTACGTTTCGGGCAAATAGGCGCCAATTAATGCCATTATAATCGGTACGTGAAACTGATATGCGGACTGTTGTGCGGCCCGTATTGGCCGCAAATACCGGGTCGAAAGGAAACGTGTTAAACGGCCCCCACTTTCGCGACAGTATATAACGGCATAACACGATAGCAATGCAAAGCATAAGTCAGTTGAACCCTTTTCCCACGCGCTGAACACCGGGAGTTCACCCATCAATTCAGTCCCTCTCAGGCAACCAATTATGGTATTTATGGCCACAACAAGGACTAAGAGTAGACATGTTTTTGCTGCTAATCCGCTTTGATATATTTTAGCCGAATAACCATGATCGACTAAACATGCTAATATAAGCCCATTGAGATATGCTGCGCCATAGGTTAATGGCTTGATGTGAAATAAGCCAACCGTGGTATTTTCAACGCTATTGACATCATACCACATCCATAACATAATATGTTATATTAGATTATTGTTTTAAATTAAAATATATTTTATCATGGTAAATAAAATCAATATTATTTTAACATACACTTTCATTGACGATGGATTATTAGAGAAAATTATTGTACTGTTCATTGATTCAGTTGTGATACCGTATGAATACATTGTATAAAATGCTCGGATTGTCAGCAAAATATTACACATAATTATTACAAAAACTCCTTTTTTGAAATTTCTGAAATAAATTAAAAATATAATTAAAATTTCATATAATTAATGCATTGTATAAGAAATCTTTTGATCTCTCTCTCCCTATCTCTCTCTCTCTCTCTCTCTCTCTCTCTCTCTCTCTNTCTCTCTCTCTCTCTCTCTCTCTCTCTCTCTCTCTCTCTCTCTCTCTCAATCATTACATTTTTAACCACAATTTATCTATGAATAATGTGCCTGATAGAATCGCTCAGCCCACTCTCCCTCATACTATGAGACTTAACATGGAATTACGTGTTATAATATGGGTAATGCTAATTCTATGGAGTAGTTTCCAAAAATTTAATATGAGCTACTGTTATCCAATTGATAATGTTCATCTTAAGGGGAATTTTTCCTATTGAAAACAGAATTATGAAGGGATAAGGTAATTTTTCTGTTTGTTAATTTTATGAAAGAATGTCTTAACATGGGTACTATTGGATTATAGCTTAAATCTTTAACATAGATTTAACACGGGCTAAGCTAAAACTATGGGATTTATATTAAATATGTAGATTATTCTAATCTATTTTTTGAGTAATACCCGAATTGTGGTTACCCTATAGATATCTTTGTGTGATATTTGTTTATTAAATTAAAAGTTGCAGTAATGTTAAATTATTTAGTAAAATTGAACTTTAATACTGACCTGTGCAATAAAATCATAAATAATGGCGCAAATACTGTCAATTGTACCAACACAATATTTGACCAATGGGGCATCATGCACTAAACATAATCATTCAAATATAAACAATCGAAATTAAAAGTGATGTACAAAATTATAAAATCGAGGTATAATTACCACTCCATTGACATAATTACTAATAAACAAAGCGTCAAAAATCCAATTATTTTGACAATTATCCACCAGTTGTTTGTCATAATATCGATCGGGAATTAAATATTTGATAAAAATTATGTAAAAATAAAGCGATAAATAATGCATAAAACTAATTCTAGTAATTCTATCAAAATAGAATCTTATGGATGTCTTGGTCAGTTTTTGATGATCACTTAATTCCATGTCTTTAGTCATCATTTTTTGTGTAAACCATTTCATTGCTGCGAATCCATTGGTCATGAATGCGAATATCATGATCATTCGATGGGAAACCCAGCATGCAAAACTGTTTAGAAATATTTTAATTTAATTTAATTTTAATAAAATTAATTAATGTTTAAATAATAACAATAAAATATTCATAAGAATTATCGCTTACAATATTTGTTTATCATTGCCTATTATAGTAAACTCGGGCAGTTTAAACAATAGCGCGTGAGAAGTATGCACATACATCATGTAGAAATTAATCAGTACTCGGATGCCGTCCAATACATTGTGTCCAACGATAGGCTGATCATCCGTTTTGTTAGCATTTCTTGTCGACGACCCGTTGTTAACACTGATTGACTCAAAATAGTTAGCGATTAGAGAAAAGCAATTTAATATTTTATCCCATGTTTTCTTATTCTCGTATTGTTTTTTAAAGATTATGGTGAATACATGTCTAATTGTGGCCCATAACACAATTATCACCCATAAAATTATAAAGGTAACAAATATGCTTAAATCTAACATGTTGGTGTTGTGTAGATTTATTTCGGATTAGCGCTAATTTTAGTTAAAACAAAATTTATTACTCAAATCACTTTTAAACAATTAAAAATTAAACAATTCATTAAAAAAGTAAATTGAAAACAAGTTATAAGATTGAGAGTTAATCCCAATCTGTCGTACAATTTTAATTAACATTTACTTGTTTAGGAAAACATACGGTAATTATTTAATTAATCAAAGTTTCTAAAAAAGTAATTTAATTCGCATTATTAATAATTAGGAATTTAAATAATAGGCGGCAAAAGGATAGCTATTGTAATTCCCGATACAACCCAAAGCGACCAAACCTTCGGAAATACTTTGTCAATGTTGTTGAATGGGATGCAAAATAATGAACAAAACATTTTACAAACATATTCTAATTGAAGCATTCACAATTAACCATTTCTAGCTAATAGAAGTTGTCTATAAGTTATACATAATCCGATACTTTATTAAATATAATTATCCAATATTTCAATTACCGTCGGCTCAAAATGCCAAAGTGTTTTCGCTTTGGGTTCTATCGGCAATCACAATAGCTAGAGCAAAACGGATTGCGGTATTTTATACTGTAATAAACACATTTTAAATTATTTACATGTTACATTAATTTAGCAACTGAATAAATTAGTAATTTAAATCACAATTTATTTTATATATTTGTGACCACTCGTTATTATAAACCATAAACATAAGTTATACATTATTTTTTACACCAACTTATTGTTATAAAATTATTTATTTTATTTATTATATGCTTATAGCAAAAGTTATTAAAAATGGTAGTAAAACAGTTGTAAAAACAATTGATGGAAAAAGCCTGACAACCTTGCACGACAAATATAAATATATTTAGTCGTTTATGTCAATTAAGATTGTCTCATACCTAATGTGAAACTTGTCCGCAGACTTTCCATTCGAGTCTTCAATGAAGTCATTCATTAATTTCTATATCAATGAATGCAAGCAATTGTTTGGCGAAAAGTATTCACAGAAATCATACAATTCTATGGATTCAATGCTCAACGAACTCAAATTGTTTGCTATAATAAACTATTTATACGGCATTTGTTTCTTTCTGTTTGAAACCAAGAATACACCTCTCGATGAGAAGACGGGTTTCCTTTTGGCTGAATCGGCACTTAAAACCTATATTCATCTAAAGAATCGATTGAAAGTAACCATGGTCATTTAAATGTAGACATTATATCGAAAACATCAAAATAATTGTAATTTGTTTAGATGTTAAAATAAAACATTATTTGAGCGAAAGTATATTTTAATATGATTTTTATTGCTATTTTATTTTATTAAGATTTAATTAAAAGAATATTGGTTTAACATATAATTAATAAACTAATTTTTATCATGTTTATTTGTCAGATTTAAATATATACTGTATTTTTGATACAGCTAGTGTTTTAAGATTGTCTCATTTTATTAATCATTGCAAAAAATATTTTAATGTGTAACAATATATAAACTATATAAAATGTAACAATAATTTGGAATTTAAAAATATATGTTTAGGCTTTTAATTGGTTAAGTATGGGCTCCTGATTGCCGCTATTGTAATCCTTAAACATACCGACAGTCAAACCCTTCAACTGATTGAGCGACACATTGATGTCGAGTTGGTCTTTGAGCTCATGTTGTAATTGTATGGCAAACAGAGACTCGAGTCCTATCTCTCCGATAGTTGTGTTGTCGGGAGTAGTGTTGGGATCGATGCCCAGCACTGACCACAACTCGCCCACCACTCGGACGCCCACTTTGCCGGACAATTGGGCCGACATTATGTCCTCTTTTAACTTTAAACGAGAGTAAGAGTAAGTGAGTGAGTGAGAGAGAGAGAGAGAGAGAGAGAGAAAATATAATTAATCACAAATTATAAGACAATTTACTTGCGATGTGACGATCGGGTATTGAATGGCCAACAGTTTGTCCAATACATCGATAGCCGAGAGCACCCGTTGTTTGCGTACAGAAGTCATAGTATCGCTGAGATTGAAGTCAAGAGCGGCGCCGACGTCTCCAATGAGTCCGTACTGAACGGCGAGTCCGTGCAGACCATCCCTTCGGCGCTCTTCGCACAGACGCTCACAGAGAGAGTTCCCGAACCCATAGTTTGTTTGGC